TGCCAATCAAATGAAGGTTGATCCATCGAATGCTGGCTGCAGGTTATTCCAAATGGCTGTGTCGATTCAGATTTACAAGGTACAACAAGAGGATGAAACTATTGAGGCTGCTAAGGACAGGGCCATTACGGAGGAGAATTTAGAATTAGACTGGCTAGGGGAAAATAAGGAGTAAATTTAATCAATCATCATTGAACTTTAGAATTGTTACTACTTACTCACTCATCTTTAACATATTACCTAATAATTACTCATCTTTACATATAATTATTCATCCATTACTCATTTAACTCCCACCTCTCAAAATAAACGGAAAATTACACGTGGATAACGAAAATCAAACATGGTACACTTTCTAAATGATCTGGAATTAAACCCACGACATTAAAACCATGCCTCATACCTATTTCACGACATTTCTCCACTAGAAGGCAAAAATAAGAAATATTTAGGGTTGATTTTTCAAATTTCTAGCTGATTTTTCAAAATTCTTCCTCAAATCAACGTAATAGGCTTAGGATTTCTTCTCTTGTCTGGATAATGGAGGGCATAGGTAACCCACAAGACCCTCATATGGACAATAATTGGATGGAAGATGCATTGTTGGAAATTGAGCAAGAAAGAACTGGAGAAGGTAAGTTTTTATATTATTTTGTTGAACATGTTTTGTTTCCTTATGGGCATGAAGATTCTAATTTGAATGTTTTGAAATAGACAATATATTAATCAGATTCACTTAAACCCTAACCAATACTTTTTTTACAATACCTTAACCCTAGTCTTTTAGATGTAACAAACATTAATACCGGTCTTTTCGCATTCCAGTGACGAACAATGAAGGTGAAGATTTGTTGCCACTTGAGTGCTAGTTAAATGACTCAGAGGATGATGTGGACGATGGAGGTTTTCGTTATCAGAGAAATGCACCGGAAAGAGTTGTGCTTGGTTAAAAAAAGCAAGAGAATACCATAAAATACACTGCACTTTGGCAAATTATAAATATTTTATCCAAGTGCAATGACTTTATTTTGCCTTTTTTTGGTACACATTATTTTTTCATTTTCATTCTTCTACTCATTTTCAACCACACATTCTTCAATAAAATAATATTTTCCATCACATCAATAACTTTTCCTTCATTTTCAACACACATTCTCCATCAATCTATTATTCAATAATGCATTCTTTCAAAAGAATGCGTCTCAAACATACTCAAAAACAATATTATAGTCTTCAATTATATAATTTATATTATCTTGCACGGTATTGCACTGAATACAACTTTTCAGGTGTTTTAGCTTGCATGGATTGATTGAATTCCATGATCTTCTCTTACATAAACTCCACTTGAGATGCAAATTTATTAAAAATAAGTCCCGTTTGATCTACATTATTATCTCACTAAAATGAAAAATATGACCGTTATCCATCACATCAACATTTAAATTCAAATTTTATATCTCTTGTGTGGACCCCAATAACGGCTATATTTTTCATTCTCATTCTATAATAATTTGTCTCAAACAGGGACTAAATTATAAAAATGATATTTTGAAGAATATTTGGTTAAAAAGTAGAAAAGTTTTGGATCCATGTGCAAATTATTTTATTAAAATAATATATGGATAAAAATGAGTTTCGGAAAAAATAAATAGGTCTTACAGTATATTTACCAAATAGGGGATAATTAATGTCTGGAGTCTAGATGATCATCGATCGATTTGTGATGTAGTAGAATCACTATCACGTTGTCCATTAAAGTTTGAATACACTTTTATGTATTTTTAGACATTGAACAATGTGGTAATCACACTACCACATAGATTAAAGATCACCTAAACTCTAGATGACAATAATATTTTTTTCATATTGCCTTATTCCTACACTTGCAATATTAAAAGCATTGCACTGAAGGAAACTAAACACTGTAGTACAACAAAAGAGATTTTACTACTAGGCTGGGCTGCATCTGGGTTGATGTCACGCGTTTTCTATAACGTGAATTTATGCCGCAAGTGTACGGTGTCAAGTTTTGTAATATAGTATGAAAGTTAGGATGTCGAACCCACAGGGATTGTTATTTAATTCCACTAAGTACTATAATTATGCAACTTCTATTTTATCTAGACAATTGATAAATGATTGGTTGATTGTTTTAAACTAAAGTAATGAAATTGGTTGAGACAAAATTG